CAGTATGGGTGCGCCCAATCGCCTGAGCAGCAAAGCCTGGGCCCTTGTCAACGCCAGAGGGCTGCTAGCCCAGGCAGGCTTACCCTGGCCCTTCGATTCAGCAACCATCACACAAACAGACTCTTGGCGTCGGTTGTGCGCCAAAACATCAAAAGGTCTGAGCCATGCATGGCAAAACAGATTTTACTTTGATTAATGTCACAATATACGAGTTCGTTGGATACCATCAAGCAATTATATCAATTGATTCCTTTCCAAGATTCCAGGGCCCCAATTTTCGCACCATTGCAACTCGAAAATTTTGAGACTGGGATTCTGGCCAGAGCAGCGCAAAAAGTTGCAATGATTCGGGACTCCTATTATATAGTTGGGACCTCTACGATCAAATCAATGATTTGGTTCTTCAATAGCTATTTCGATCGATTGCGATGAACATTAATGAAAATGTTTGAGCTTTGCTGAACTAGCCGACAGAAACTCTCTAGTCAACATCCTGTGGATCAATCACTTCATCATTCTCATCTTCCTGTTCCTCTTCACCTTCGCGAAAAGGTTCTTCAGACTGTTCAGTCTCAGGTTCGGCCGCCATCCATCGCCCAGCCTTTTTTGCCATCGTCCACCTGAGGATTGGTGAGCAGTGCGTCAAGGGTGACCAGAAGATGATCATGGTTGAGACCCCGGCGCTTCTGAAGGCCCTCCGCATTTTCCCCAAAAAAGGGAAAGGCCTCTCTTTGGAGTCTTGTCGACCTGGTTCCAGGTTCAAAGCATTTCAAATTTTTATGGCAGTCGACCAAGTTGCTCCATTCCGGTTGCACCATTCATGTGAATAAATAAAGTGCAAATGTTGACTGCCTAGCCTGCAAGTTGAGACCATGAGTTCGATTCACTTGCCACACGGTGCTTTTGCTCACTGGACTCACATAGAAGCCGGCCCTCTTGTACCTTATGATGAACTGAGCAGCCCATTATTGACCACACCCTGGACCAGTTGAAACCGTAAGAGTTGCTCATGATTGCAATGGAACTCAAACATGGAAGCAACACGGGAAGATTGTTTAATGTCAGTGGCAGTGGCTTCCAAATTTGATCAGCCCGCTAGGCCCCTTGCAGGACACCTATGGTGGCTGGTTCGGAGGAGACCGTGTAGGCTTTTTCAGGTGGCTTCAATGTGAACGACCTTGATCAAACCAGTGCATGCTAGTGTTGTCACCGGAATTCAAAATCACAAGTGTTGAACTTGATTTAGTGATTAGGCAAAGTACGTTCTCTTTTGAAGCACTTCATCAGATGGAAGGATCATCATTGGGTCCTCCTTCGCGATACCCCGCACAATCTCCAGGTTCTGCCGTACCTGTCAAGTTGATTGGCACCGCATGTAAAGAATTGAAATAGACATGCAGCATACATGCACACTTGTTCTGTAACCACGTATGCAAACCGTATGTAACACACCTGTATCACAATGTTTGTGAACTATACCAAGCCTTCTCATCAATATGATCTTTCGGTGTCACTCCAGGCGAATCAGGTCCAGGTTTGCTAGCTGCAGCTCCGCTAGGCCTTTTCATTGCCCTTGGTTCCCGTTTTCTCTTCCTATTGTCTGTCTCATCCTCACCCTGGTCATTGTTGTCCTGATTGTCATCCTGTTCATCCTTCTGTTCAGCCTTTTTAACCTTGGAGGGGCCTTTCCCTCGACCTTTTCCTCTCCCAGCTCTCCCACGCCCACGGGGCCGCCCTCTACCTCTACCTCTGCCCCGACCTCTTCCTTTTCTGTCGAGATCCCTGTCTTCGTCACTTTGGTTTTCCTTATATTCTCTGTCTTCATCCTCGAAGTCCTCCTCAGCTGCAGCTTTTCTGGACGCTGCCCGTAGGGCTTTCTGAGCCTACCCAATGGAGAAAACATATTAAGTCGGACGCGAAAGATCAGAGAGACAGAGAGATGAAGCATGGAGAATATAAATGACTTCACACAGAGTGTTCAAGTTGGAAATCCAATGCAACAGCGTAAATTCTAGCCTTCAAAATGTCATCATTGTTGCCATCCTTCCCCAGTGCTTCGGAAACCTCCTGGGCACGCCGCTCCATGTGTTCATCTTGCGCAGGCATTGCAATCAAGGGCTCATGGTCCTGTCATGCGTGCAGCGATATATAGATAGATCTAATGTGTAAAACTGGATAAAATTGGCAAAGGTATGGATCGATCATACGTGAATGTTTTTGAACAAAATCATGCAGTGATCAGTTCCCCTACCCTACCTTGTGTGCTCCCTTCTTGTCATCATCGCTGTGAAAGAAGCTCTCTTCCATATGGGGTAAAGTGTCCATATTGTCCATCGGAGTCCCAGTTGGTTCACCTAGACATTCCTCCGTTTTTTCCTCTTGCTCCTCATCATGGGGTAAAACATCAACAAACTCATCTTCTGTCGGGATTTCCTCTTCTCCGTGTTCCTGTCCCCCTACGTTCTTGGAATCAGGGTAAACGTCGTCATCATCGTGTGGTTCAACTTCAAGTTCGGTGGCCGTAATGCTTCCGCTTGCCAAACTGGCCTGGGCTGTTGGAATCATAGGGGCCATAGGGATGACATGAACGAATAGGGGAATGGAAACACGGAAACACAATCATTTGTTTGTTACTAATCAAATACTGTACCGGTTTGACTATTAATGATGGTTTTGACATGGTGCGCACCTGGGAGGCTGCGCGTGATGGGCCTTTCTTTGCAACTTTTTCCCTTTCTCATCCAACATTCCATGCGCCTTCAGCGCTCTGGGTGTTTCACCGTGATATGATGAATGGAAATTATATCCTAGACTCTACAAGTCAACAATGATGAACAAGTGTGGGTCCACACCTCCAAGACCTCCTTGATGATGCCCTTGATCTCGATCATTTTCGGGTGGCTTTTTCTGCGTGAAAGCTGATGAAATTGAAAACCAAAGTTTTCTAACACATGAGGCTATTGTGCATTGTGCTGGACAGGAGTGGCACGACTGGCACGAGCACGACTGGCACGCCTGGCAGTTGGATTGCGCTGGAACCTCGTCATGCAGTACTGGGCAAAGGTTCGTTGGAGGCCACCCTCCACTGATGCCCACACCTCGTTTCGGGAGATCGGAGGTTAAACCGAAAACTTGAATCAATTTGGGGAGGGATTTCATGTACACTATAATATACCATAAATTCAATATAGCTAAGGCAATGGCTTCATGCTCCCAGACATCACGAAAATGTGTATTCAGCTTGTACTCCATCGACATCGCAGTGAGCACAACCTCCAGAAACACATTCACCGAAATATATAAGATGGCACCAACCATGCATTGTAGTCTGCACTTTGGAACTTGTGACAATCCTAGAAGGAATTGTGAGGATCATTGGCCTCAATCTCATTCTTCCCAGGCAAACAGTGCGCAAACTGCGCAAGGTAGGCAGCCACAAAGTTGAAGTTTCTATCCATTTCCACCTGGGCAAACGCAGTTATACCCTAGACCAGGAGCATCGTAGCAGTATCAACTGACATGACAGAGCATTCAAATGTGCACATGTTAATTGTTTGGCTAGGCAACATCTCTTTCACCAATTTGGCCGTGCTTGAGCTTACCCTTCATCCGCTTCACATCCACAAAGCTAAACTTCACAACCTTACGGGAGAAAGCTGCATGATTTGATATCATGATGCCACTTAAAAAATCATTCACAGACTCTAATCACATATGAGATTGCACCAAGCAACCTTGGAATCTTGGGGAGAAATACCAGCCTTTAGTCTGAGTTCCCTTTTTCTCTCAGAGATCCACGCTTTATCGTTCAGAATCTCCCTGTAGAACTCCTGAAGGCAGTTGGGTGCCTGTATGTCAAAATTAATTATGTAATGTGTTCAAAAAAGGTTTGGATTAGCATCATCAACATATTGTAGCTGCAACACCAGCCCTCTTGCACCCCCAAAAGCGATCCTTGAGGTTTTCGATGACGACCCGACGCGCTTGCGTCGGCATGCCGCAGCAAAAAAATCAGCTGTGGGTGGCACAAGGGGCTTGGAGAAATACATGCAAAACACCCCCTTAGTCTTTATTTGAGCCCAATCGCAAGATGAATTAAACAGCTTGGCATCGTTCCAAATCGACTTGATGAAGCTGGCATGCTACGACATATCACACAATGGTTGAATGTCATAAGACGGGTGCACGCAGATATGTGCAGGGCAAATAGAGGGGGCTCGCACCTAAAGGTTCTCCAATTTCCAAATCATCCACAAAAGTTGCCGCAAATGCAGCTTTCATCCCATGGCGCCATGTGGCCACAGAATTTTTCAAAGTATCGATATCCAACTGAGCAAATTTTCTTGGAATCCAATACCATTAATTTATATAATGGCCCTGAGTGGCACAATTGGTTTGGTTCCTGATTTCCTTATCTCGCGTTGATTCACATCCCTGTGGGAAGCTGCGGCAGGCACTTGGGAGATCCCGGCAGTGGGTTGAGTATTCAATATATACACTGTGATTCCCCCATCATAGAACATTATTATACTACTTGGGGTTTCCAACAATCTACATCTGGATCTTTGGGGCCACAGATGGCCACAGTGCCGGTATAGCCTTAGATGACTTACTGGTATAGTCGATGAGAATTCCCCGTATAGTCTTCAAAATCCATTTATAGTCGTTCATTTCTGGTATAGCCTAGGCCATGGCAGATATGGTCGAGGAATCATAGGGTATATATATATATATATAAATACATGCCTATATATATATAAATACATATATATATATATATACTGTATACATATGCGCACACATACACAGGAAGAACACATGTATACTGTATAGATATATAATTATATATATATATGTATGTATCCGGTATAAATGATTATGTACCCATGATATACCCATTTCGCATACCCATTCGATATGTATATATATATATATGTATATATATATATAGAATATACATGCACATATATTATATATATAGGAGCAGCCATAGCAGCAAGGCAAAGAGTTTGTCTCGCAGCATTTTTACAACTCCGCGGTGGACCTGTTCCTCGGTAAAAAACGAGCCGAGCTGGGGTTATGTTTGTCAAAACCCTGGTACCATACCGGGTACCATCAAAAAGATGGTTACTGGATGATCATTCCCCAAAGATTATCGCTTTTCATAGGACCCATCCCCATATGATGCATGCAAAATAGGGCGGCAAAAATGATGAATGAACCTCTAAAATCCTCTAAATAGCTACGTATTGACTCTGCGAAAATCATGAGCAATCATGGGATTTCTTTGGGTAGCCTATTTTCAGAGCCATACGGGGGAAGTCGGGTAAACTAAACCAACTGGTTGATCAATGAAATCGAATGCAAAATTGTCCCAAATCGGATTGCAAGATCATTCTCCGATAGGAAATCAGCATATTTGTGTTGGGTAGGTATTTAAATATTTATATATATATACACACATATGTATATTACATATAGATACATATACTATACATGTGTATATTATACACATTTCAGGAATGAATCCCTGGAAGTCCAAGTGAATCTTCAGGAGTGCAGCAGTCCAACTTTCAGTTGGTGCCAACTTTCGCCACCGCCACTGGAGGCTTTGTGTCACACCCACCCCCTTTGCCGTGTTTGCCTTTGATAAAGATGAACAGCGAAGGCAAGCCAACAAGGCCTGCAGCGCAACGGGATTGGAAAGGGAAAATACATTCAGATACTCAAAAAATCCCTTCATGAATTGAGCAATGTTCGAAACCGATGTTGGTTGATGATTGTTTGTAAGGGGTTATACTACATTACTACATGATACTACCCAATATATCCCAATATAGTGGGTATTTTCACAATCCGTTCTAGGAATCCCCATTAACCAGCCAGGACCAGCCAGTCTGAAGAGTGGGTACCCCAATTTTTGATGGTCTATCAATGTCCATCATTTTCGTTTTTTTCGTCACATGATCTAAACTGCCATTTGGAGGTATGTTCCATTTTTTGGGGGGGCTCATATCCTAGCTACATTGCCCCATATGGGCCCTTCATGAGTTTGAAACCTCCGATCATGGCAGGTGATGGAACCCTACCATCAGAGACTTGGTGGAAAAAAAGCAGAATCAATGGGGAATTTAGACAGAATCTCAAGCATCTGGATTTGTTCGCAAGAAGTTGGGAGTTAGGCAATATAAATTAAGATTTGATCAACATATAAGTAGTTAATTATTATATATTAACGACATGAAGTGGTAAACTACAGCCTGAGTAGTGACCCAATTGTTCATGCTTGCGTGGTTCCAGCCACTAGGCCTTTAGTTGGAGCCAGCAGAAGGGGAGGAGGATTGCAAGTCTTTTGTCCCGGATCCCAGAAAACGTATTTTTTTGGGGATGCTTCTTAAATCTTCTGAGATGAAAAAAACAGAAAAACACATCCAGTTTCTACTCAATCTATGTACTTACAACAGCTTTTGTATGATGTCCCGGTCTGCTATGGCTTTGCGGGTCCTATAAAGGATGTATCTTTTCACAATCAACTGATTCAAGCCTTCGACAGCTTCATCTTTTGTCAGCGAAAAACTCTGAGGACTCCCACGATCTGTTGACTGTTGTAAGATTTTGCCATGGCTCAAACAATATTAATCCCCAACAACGGATGGTGAACTGAAGCATGGCCAGCCATTCGCATTCCATTGGTAGCATGTGTTTGAGCTACAATGAAGTTCATGTTACTGGGATTGACCCTTTAGATTTTTTGGTGGAAGTAATACTTCTCCTTCATAGTCCGCTTCAATGCGGTTGGAAGCATCCAACATGTTATGGGGATCCAACCTGGGCAAAGGCCCAATCAAGTACCCAAGTTTGATCCAGACTCCAAGACCTTTGAAATGCATTGCCCATCTTGAAGCATCCCAGCGTAGTTTGTGGATATCTTCTAATAGTTAATTCCACTACAATCCCACACACAGCTTTATAATTTATCATATCATACATTATCATACAATATATCACAAATCCATATATAGATATAATTATATATATAATTACGTATATACATATATAATTATATATCCTGCATCATAAATCCGTATGGTTCCCCTCTTCGCCCAGGATTTTCCTACGTCTTTTCACCAGCTCTTCCAGACACCAACTGAGTTTGCGTGAATTGAGCTCCATTCCCAGGCCTTGCCGCGGCAAGTTTCTTCATTGTTCACACGCAGAAAACTTCAATTTCCCAGACCAAAACTACCAAGCCAAACCACCACATATGCACTCGTTGAATATATATATATATATATGTATTTATTTATTTATATATATATATACAAATAATTTTGTTATATTTAAATATATTTAATATATATTTTATATTGATTATATTGATTGTATTCATCATATTTATTATATTTTTTATATTTATTATACACGCCTACACACCCCATTAAGCAATCACTTGGGCAGTTCCAGCAGCACCTCCAGCAGAAAAAAACGTGGTTTTTCGGCAGGGTCAAAGCACTCACACATGGAGGATCCAGCTCCTTGGTGCTCCTGATTTGTTGGGGATGAGTATAGCCCACCCAAGGGATCCCAAGGGGATATTTATATGATTTAATGGGGACAAAAATAATGAGTATATGGATGTATGTGGTGGGATGTATGTAATTCATATATTTTTGGATATTTATATGATGTTATCTACATGTATCAAACAAGCAGTATAGTGGAAAAGGGCTATGTTTTAGGGCTCACGGAAAATGAACAATGCAGAAACTAAGGATGGGGTTCAAGTGACCCAGCGGAAAGAATTTTGGGACTTTTTTTTGCATCAAAAACGGGGGATTTGGTTGGTTGATTTTCACACCAAATTTTTGGTGATATTAAGCATTAAGAGTGATATTCTGTAGCCCAGGGTGGTGCTTTAACAAAAAAATAGTTGTGCTTCATGGTTGTGTGAGTAGTGAGGTTTCTCATCTTACTAGTTTTAGAAATTTGGCACCCGAAGCCAGGTTCTCAATGGTCTTCCATGCAGCACGTGTAAGACTGCCCTGTTCTTCACACATCTTGGAGCGGGAGATCCGACAGTAAAAGGTCATCCATCAAATTCAAGCCTAAGGAGTCACCTTTGTGCTTCTCTACTCGCACTTTGTCCTTTTTTCCGCGGGCTACGAGGCATAGTGAGCTTGTCGACACAGCTGGGGATGGAGTTCAGAAAGCGTGTGGGTTATTCCAATGTCAACTATGCTTGTTGGTGACATCCTTCTTTGATCTTGGTTTCATCACGTTTCATCCAAAGTTCCTTGGAGAAAGGGATGAAGCTCCGCAGCTGGGATGATCAGAAGGATCACAGTGCTCTATGCAGGCAGATTGCCTTTTCCAACTGGTTCTTTCGTGAATTTACTGGGTATTGTAATGTTCCATTTTTCACAACCAGTCTAGGCGACTGCTGGTGACTGCCGTAGTTGCTGCTAAAGTCTCTTTTCGTGCTGATGACTGAGTCGATCCCCATTTCAAGCTTTTCCCAACGTCCGACGTGTTCGATTTTGGATATGGCAACCTGTCAGAGAAATTCAGAGAGTATGGTACCCAAAAATTGATGCTTGATCACATGGTGACAACACCACGCCATATTTGGAGGTGTCCATAAATGGGGGATCCCCAATAGCTGGATGGTATATAATGGAACATCCTACTTATCACTGTAAAGTGGATGATTGTGGTTGCTACCCCCATGACTTTCTGGGACAGCTCCATGACTTTCAGGCGCTTCTGGAGAGCTGCGTGCTGCTTTTCTGGGGCATTTCCTTGGCTCTCATCGAAGTCCTACAGCTTCAGGCCAAAGGCTCCATCGGATCCCTGGCCGGAGTTCGCTGCAAAAATGCTACATGTCATGTGGATAGGGGGATATCTATGGGATTTATATATATATACACATATAATATTATATAATTTTATATACATATTTATATATATATATACATATGTAATGTATGTGTATATATCTAGATGTATGCAATGTATGTGTTTATAAAATATATATGTGAGTATATGTAGCCACCTTGATATGAGCTATTTATAGCTACTTTTGTTTGTGTTAGCATTTTTTGCGAAACTGCGTTCCCAATATTCCGCGGTTTTAAAACTGAACTTCGCTATCAATTGGTGGCGATTTTGGGGTGGAAATGGCTGGAACATGGATGTGGAGGCCCATTTTCAGAAGCCTATATGACGTTAAATTTTCAAGATCAAAGCCTTATCCAATTTTGTAATTCCAGATTTCTTTCATATCCCAAGCAATTTGTTTCATGTTTTCCCTTTGGAATATCTGGGAGTTTTACCATCCCTGACGTCTAAGGGGATGGGATGAAACACGAATTTGTCGCCATGTTGACGCCAGAATTCGCGAGTGTTAAAAAGGGGGGGAACATCAACAGAACTCCGTCTCGGTCTCAGTTTTATTTTTTAAAATCTCTATATTTTAGGGGGGAACATCAACATTTTCGCAAACTAGATTTAATATGATTCAACTAGATCAAGAATCATCAAGTACAATGCAAGATACTTTCATGTTCTGAATACCTGAGGTGGGAAACATTACTCTTCATCTCTTTGAAAGTGGGTTTGTTCAAAAACGGGATACCCCAAAAATCCAATGGTATATCATCTCATCACTTTCCCTATGAGATAGCAGTATTTTGATGGGTATATTTCATTTTCAAATTTACCCAAGTGGCTTTCAAGCCCCGCTTGAAACACGTCCTAGCCAAGTGAGTGCCCATACCGTATAGGACCAATACGCACATTTTGATATTCTATATAGTTTGAATGTTTTTAACTGATGTTTTCGCGGGTTTTGAATTTTAAAGTGGTTGACCTTAGTTGACCTTGTTCGAATACATTTCACTGATTTGTTGATCCTGAAATTCGTTGGAGCTTTGTTCATACTGAGGTCAGTACATGAATATTTGGAACGGTCTAGACGTGATCCTGATTCTCACCTTGCTTATTGGGCTAGTGCTTTGGTGCTTTGGCGGCGTTTCGGCCGTTCGGAACGGGGATGGAATCTTACTGGCTACCTGAATCTAAACATCGATGTATCATATTGTGTATCTATGTAATTTGTTGTTCAGTCATATTCATGATTTACACATGCTTTGTATACATTATTGTCATTATTATGCATAAGGGCCTTTTATTGTTGTTTGTTTGCATTACAATTACATCATTGTACATCTATATGTCAATTTTATAACGTTACATTATATATAGACTACTGTACGTACATGATCGTACATGCACGTCATGCTAACAACTCGCATAACAACATCTCTAGTGCGGTCCCAGAATCCCCACCCCCCCAATGGTATGGGGGCCCCCCCAAACCTCGCATCGCCGCAAAATGCGCGGGTTCGACCTCAGGTGTGTCTGTGTGTAGGTTTCGTGCAGGTTTGAATTGTATGCTAATTATTTAAATTTATATATATATATATTATGTATATATTTATTTATAATATAGATTCACACAGAATGGAGCAATGCATCCTAACCCTACCCGATACTCGCCATTGCAGGTGGTTTTTGGTGCCTTGGGCCCTGTCCGAGCACGCGGTGAACTCGTTTCATGCCTTGAAGCTCGGCGATCCAATCGTGGATTTCACCAAAGAGAAATGGGGCTTCACTTGGGATTCAATGGGAATATAGTAGGGATTTAGGGGTACCCCTATTTCAGGAAACCCTCATTTAGACACCCTTGCAGTTCTCTTTTTTTTTCCGATCCAATCCTCGACTTGGTTTGACCACCTATTGTATCCAGTTGCTTTTTTGGATGTGGGGGTTGTAACCCCATATATCCAAATCCAATGCCATAAGTCATAAGTCATATATATATATGCATATAATTATTATATAATTATACGGCCAGGACGGGGGTGCTGCCCGGGGAAGTGTGTTTTGACTGCGCCCTGCGGCGCAGGGCCAGTGTTTTACGCATTTGGGGATGTCGTCGGATCGCCCAAATGGCTGATGAGATTTGTTTCCAAAACACAAATGCTAAACCTTAAAACCTAAATCTGACATAACAGTGAAGTAAGCCTTGAAAGTAAAATTGTATTCAAACCGTGGTTAAAAAATAAAGATAAATAACAACAAAAACCTAAATGAAACCCTAAACAAACCCTAAGCAAACCATAAACAAACCCTAAAGAGTTGGTCACATGATCAACCTCTGGGCGGCACCCCCGGCCTGCGGGTAATTATGTATTAATATTAATATTATAATATAATATGCGTTTATATTATAATATATGTTTATATTATAATATATGTTTATATTATAATATTATTATATTATAATATGTTATTATATTATAAAATATTATTACATTTTACTTTATTATTATATTATAATATATTATTACATTATACTTTATTGTTATATTATACTATATCATATTATGTATATATATATATGTGTATATATATAGTGTGTGTTTGCTATTTTCTGTTGGGAAGGTTCCACCTTTTCCAGCAAAATTCTTCAGGATTTCGTGAGCTCCAGCCTTGCCCCAGGAACTTGTTGCCCTGTTATGTGCGGTTGCTGCAGATCTTCGAACTCTCGGAGTATTTCGGCACGCTTCTCTTCACCGTCTTCGGCATGGCGCAGGATACGTCGCTTGATGCTGGAGATAGGTCAGGTGCTAATGTAAATCTAGGATTTTGTTAGCCACCAGTAGAGATACGAAGCCACACTTTAGCAGACATTCAGGGTTGACTTTAAAAGTCTTTAAAGATCAATCTTCAGGCCGGTGGTTCGAATTGAGCGACATCAAGTAGGATAGAAGTTATAGAAGCTATGAATTCATGGGAATATCACTCACGACAAGAGGAAAGAATAACTTTGGTCTGTTGGAATTCCTGAATTTTGAGCAGGAGACATCCTCTATTGAAGTGGTGTCATGTTCCAGTTACAAGCTTGTTCCAGGTAGCTGGAAGATCATGTGCATTCCAGGATTGGTTTCCGTGGCCGCTGAGTGCAGGCAGGTCGCAGGGTACAAATTCTCCTTGATCAGAAGTCCGATGGAAGAACATTGTGTCACAGTACTATATTACCCCCAGCCCCAGCCCAAACCAAGACAGTCTGTGGCTGTGGGTTTGTTTGTTCCAGTCTCAGCTTCAACTTAACTATGGGACTTACTAATTAAATTAGATCTAATTAGTGGCAGCAACCAATTGCTCCGACTGTTTTCATTGGTAGATTTGCACTGCCAATGAACAGTGGATTGTGAAGCTATGTGAAGCTTATTCTTGGGGGGTACCATGTTTTAATGATTGTCAATGTTCATACTTTTGGGTCCGGACCATCTCACTCGAACCTCAGGGCCTGATTGACAGCTTTCTTTTCATGACCCACTCGGGAATAGTCATACGAGTATGCCGTGGTCCATTTGATTTGTGTGTGTTTTTCATTATTTATTTTGAAGACCAAGACACTCTTCCAACGAAAAAAACAACAATGCATGTTACATGTGTATACATGCGTTTCAATCTACCAAGTTTCATCAATATTCCCCAGATTCTTGGTAAATATAAGATAGTTTGGGAATCGTCCACCATCTTCCCCAATCCAGGAAAGTTGGTAAACCTTGGTTGGGTAGGTGAATACATAATGTGTGGCATCAAATGAGGACATGTTCCATATCGAAAGAAAAAGGGCTTACAAGCCCACCACAACAAGATCGAATCATATCTAATAAGTGCTTATGGGCTTATTGACATGTATTAACGATCTATTCTTGGGACACATCGCTGGGATTGGGGTTTGGGTGTTTTTAATCAGGATAGTGTAATATAGTACAATCCCAGTCAGAATGATTTAATTTGGTAGTTGTACCTGCCTTTACCATCATTATTGGGGACAAAACTCATAGATTATGGTTTTTAATCATAATTGGTGACAAAGCTGGACTTGTTTTTTTGTTAAATGGTGTTTAATCCTGATTCAAGTCGCAACACCAGCTGTAACGAAAAACTCCGAATCGATCCACTCAGGACGCAGTTCCTGGTGCTGCTGGGGATCATTTCGCTGGGCTTCAGCTGTTCCCTGACGCCCATCTTGTACCCCAGCCGGTCGGCTCGTTGGAGTCAAGGCCGCCCTTTCGGCGGTTGGATGTTTTTTTCGGGGAAAGTTTTCCCCGTGAAATGACAAGTGGAATGGGAAAATCCAAGGGAAATCTTCTAGCGGATTCTAGCGGATGCGAAATCCATGCATTTTCATGGATTTTCTGGGAACATCATCGAACTAAATGGGGGACTTTACAGCAAGCCATGTTCGATTAGCAGACTGTACTGAAAGATACTCAAAGTAGATTGGGGATGGGTCAGCATTGTTTTTCTTTCCACAACGACTGGTATGTGATGGTGTACAATAGTACAAAATAAGCTTAACTGTATTCAAATATGAGATCTGTATACATTTCTATAGGTTGTCTTCGTCTTTGATCAATGCCAGTATGAAACTAGCTGCTCCAAACGCAAAGAACAAATGGTTTGTCCATGGTCGGGGGAACCCGCAACGATTGAGTTATATCATATATTATTCATTATCATTCATATTTATGCCTGCGGACCGAAAACCGTTCCCGTAAAACGCACGTTTTTGAATATCGCGATTGTGGGGTGGGGTGGGGGGGCATGTTAACGTTCCTTGTACTTCGTACATGAAATATTGCCACGCTGCTGAGATCCCTGGGATCGTTTACTACGTTACATGTTGCTACGCTGCTTGATGGGTGTGTGGGTGGGTGGCTGAGGTGGGGTTGGGGTGGGGTGGGGTGGGGGGGCATGTTAACGTTCCTTGTACTTCGTACATGAAATATTTCTACTCTGCTGAGATCACTGGGATTGTTTACTACGTTACATGTTTGTACGCTGCTGAGATCTCTGGGATCGTTTACTACGTTAAATGTTGCTACGTGATCGTTTACTCTGGGATCGTTTACTGCGATGACGCTAAAAAGCCAAAAAACGCGCCCCAAGTTTTTCCAGGATTTCCAATCATCAAATCAGCACGGCACTGTGGTAAAATCACCATTTGTTTAAAAAACGTGCGTTTTATGGGAACGGTTTCCGGTCCGGCGGGATATTTATATACATGGATTTGCCCAGACACGGGGTGTACCCCAGATTGGCATAGATTAGCATAGAGTAGCTCATTTGAGAAAATGATGATAAACATTGCTGGTTGGTGGTTTGGAACATGATTTTTATTTTTCCATATATTGAGAACTCATATTTTTCAGAGGGGTAGGTTTACCAACAACCAGATTTGTGGCTACGATATATAAAACAGTCACCGATCGCCGGTGCGATCGCAACTGTGTAGTTTTGTCGCCAATTCTGATGGTAAGGCGTTGTACAACTACCAAATCATTCTGCCTGGGATATATATATATATAACACTGCTTGGTGGTTTCATTTTTGTTTATTTTCCATAATATATGGGATAATCCTTTCCAGTGACTAATATTTTTCAAGATGGTTAAAACCACCAACCAGAACATATATGTAACATATTTATATTTTATAATTGTCAATAATAGTAACATGTATTGACTACTTGGTTCATATGATGCCAAGCCTGTCGAAATAGTCTTAACCCTCCCACAATTTATCACATATCATATATATATATGCATCATATATCATATTATACATATATATATATCATATATATATATCATACATATATATATATATATCATATATATACATATATATATACATCATATATCATAATTTACATATATACATATGATATATATATATATATATATCATATATATTTATGTATCATATATATACATCATATATCATATTATACATATATATATATATGATATATATATATATATCATATATATATATATATATGTATATATATATATATCACATATATATATACACATACACACATACATACGTACGTACGTACGTACGTACATACATACATACATTACATTACATTACCTTACATTACATTACATTTCATTACATTACATACATACATACACATTATATATATATATATATATATATATCATATATATCCCGGTGGGTGGGAAACCGCACTAGCGGTTGAGCACGTTTAAAAACAAAAAAACTGCTTGGCGCTGTGGCGCCGTGCACGTTTTTTGATCAACTTTACCATATTTTTTTCCGGGCAAAATCAAGTCATTTACAGGGTTTTGTGGGTTTGGGATGACGGTCGTTTTTCACTACTGGTTTAGCTGCTTCAGTCTGCCAAGCGCCTGCTTAAGGCGACTCATGTAGTCCTGTGAATTTCCATGGTGCCATCTCCATTGCCAAATGCAAATTCCCTGAAGCAACTGAGGATTAACAGCTCCATTTTTGCGTGTACTCCACGAAATTGACACGGCATGACGTAGCCGTAGTGTAGCATCATTTGTGCACGCAAGTCACATGAGCGTTATTGCCCCAGCCCACCCCACCCAAACCCCACGGTTTTCCACCCGTTACCATATATATATATGTCATATAATATCATATATCATGTATTGTATATCTAATGTATATCTACATATCATAATATACGTTACAACATGTTGCAACATGTTACAGCCAGTTGCAACCCATTTGGGGCATATCTTGGGCTTCAAGCCGCAGGCGTGACGTGGGGTTTCTGGGCCATCTTCGGCCACTTGGCAGCCTCCATGGGTTTCCTGAAACTATTGAAACTATAATCATGTACTGTTTTATATATATATATATACACATACATATGTATTTTATGTATAAATATTGGAGTTGATGAGATCCGTAAACCACCATCTAATCCCATCCCCAGAATATTCAAAGCCTCATATGGGCCTCAAAAATGAACCAATCCATAACTAAACCATGTTTCTGATGGATGTTTATTCTAAACATCGGGGTAAGGAATTTTACTTGGTGTGTTTCTATTCTTTTGGATTTGATAGAAAGTGGAAGGGATTGCTTGGTTTGTTCATTATTTTTTGGACAACAACAACTTTTGAACATGAACCTGGTTGGTTTATGATTGCGGTTACCACACCTGTAAAACACTCCAGAAAACTCTCCAGCAGCATGTGGGATTCCACTACAAACAGCGATGTCCCGAGGAGACAGAACAAATATGGCGACAGAACAAACATGTCTTTGGAAAGTCTTCTTTTTTGTACACATGATATATGAATATATATGCTATATAATACATGATATATGATATTATACATTAGATATACAATACATAATACAATCATATATCATGTCTTGCACAAATGAATTGTGCCTGAACTGTCCCTTCATATTGAGAGAGGCTCCTTGATATGGGTCCAAGCACGGGTATAGAATAGTACCTAAAGTCCACTTTCTTAGAATTGCGTGTTCCCTTCTAAAAATGGCAATTCAATGTGTGGTACATCACATTTTCCAGACACCCAGATATCAGGTGTTAATCAGTTAATCCATCATATTAATCATATTCCAACGAAAAAACATACCCCATTTTGTTGGTGATATGATAAACCATACCATTATTTTGCTTGGTTAGTTTTATACCACTATTCTTCAATATATCCCATATGAGCAACCAGCCGTGCTCAGGGGATGTGAACCTTGAGGGCACCGAGGAAGATCTCCACTGGACCGTGAAGATCTGTGTCCCTTGGCCAGGACTCCAGGACAGCCCAACATGACTGGGGTATTTTCAGCAGGGATTTGACCATGAAGCATAGGGAATTGGCAGGCAAAATTAAATTTAACAATCAACAAATTGGGTTTTAATGACCACATCGGATTTCATGTGGATCTAACCAGCAAAAACTGATGAAAAACGGCTGATTATTGCATACTTGGTAATGTTGTGGGGATTCATATCCATCCAGCATCATTCAGAGAGGATTAAACGAGTCTTAATCCCATAATTAGGGAAACAAATCCCATACGGCCATGCGGATCCCTATCACTAACCAGTTGCGAAGAGCATCGTTTTTGACGGCGACCTAGTTGGTTGATCCTGTTGGTTGAGGCAACCGTTGCCTCACCCACGAAGGAAATGGTAGGTAATGTTCCAGTATTTTTTTAAAAGGTTGGCGGGTTTCCATCATTTATTGCATGGTGGATGTTTCATATGGATTTCATGTTTTGTACCTCTCCTTCCTTTATGATAGTCTCGGGGCGGGGGTTAGCGGTGAGCAGGTGCAACATCTATTGTAGATGGGTTCTAGTAGTTGGTCAGTGAACCTCCATGGGGAACGCAGATGTTGTTTATATGTTGGACTATTTTAAGCACTCAACTCGATCAAAAGAATGCATTCCCATTTTTTTAACCATCAAACCACCATCATTTGTAGATCATGCCCTCATTTTTGGAGGTTGAATCCCTTTACTCGCGGAGTAACATCGCAGATTTCATTGGTTACTATGAATGTCCTTATCTATAAGCTAAACATCATGTCTGAATGTGTCTGGATCATCTTTTCTTGATAGAGACACATACATTACATCAACCTCCCTTTCAATATCTCCCAATGAATATCCCCATATGCATCCATAAGCACCTTTTCGGTTGGTTGATCATGGTTTATCTCTTATTGAAATGTTATTGTGTTTTGTACCCCCTTTAAATATCTATCATTCAAAACCACATAAAAAAAACTCCCACGGTCGTCTTAGCGGCCATCAGGTGAGTTTTTTGCAGTATCTGCTGTCATTAGCATCCAATGTGCTGCTGGTGAACCTGCTCATTGCCATGCTGACTCTTTTTTTGTGGTGAGGGGATCTGGGATCATAGGGATTTCATGGGAGATTCATGGGGTTTAGTGGGGGATGTATAATGATATATATATATATATATGATTACATTGAGCACGCAGGGGGCGTGTAATTTGATTTTGGCAATGGCAGCCACTTGCAGCCACTCGAGTGGCCGCAAGTGGCCGCAAGTGGCCGCAAGTGGCCGCAAGTGGCCGCCAGCAATCTCTTGTCTCCGGCGGCCATTTGCAGCCACTTGCAGCCACTCGAGTGGCCGCAAGTGGCCGCCTGACATCCTCCCACGGAAACTTTTCCACATTTTCCGCGGCTAACCCACACTCGGAACGACAGGGAGAGACCCACAACGAAAACGCATAAGTTCAAACAAACATGAAGGAGTAGAAATTAAGAGGAAGGACTTATTAAAAGAAGCGGACGCTGCAACGAAAAATAATAGACTACGGGGAAGACCCACAACGAAAACGCACGAGTTCAAACAAACATGAAGGAGTAGAAATTAAGAGGAAGGACTCGGAAGGACTTATTAAAAGAAGCGGCCATGAGATTATACGCCAATCTATTCATGTTCCTCTCTGCAACCCTGGCTGGCCAAATGTCGTGTATACTTATCGATGTGTCTGTGTATCTAAGGTTCCTGGGTAGTCGATCTTTGTATTTGTCTGCCTACCAAGCTGTTCACCGACGGAGGCAATCTTGCAATTTGTCTTTCAGCTTACCCTCTTTCTGTCTCATGGTTCTGTCCCTTTCTATCTCTGACACGTCGACATTCCGTTCTCCCTCTCTTGTGATCGTCAAAATCCATCCGAACATCTTCAGCGTCACCAAAAAAGGGGAAGTGTATCATTATACATCTACACTCTAAAAGCTTACATCTTCTTGACTCTGGTTGGCCCCGCGATTGTCCCTGATATCAGTTCCTGCGTGCCTGCGTTATGGAAACGCCCTGCATACAACCAGTGGCATGCAGTTCCCAGGTACAACTTTGTTCAACATGGATCAGCAGGAAGAGGAGGGATCTACTGCTCAAAGTCCTTCGCGGCAGTCGAAAGACTGGCTTTGTTCCTCCGAGAGACGCATGAAAGCGTCCTGGTCCTCGTCTTCTACGCAGCACTGCGTGAGATGTTGCAGGTCAGCCTGCAGCACTTGGACGTACGCATCCTCAACTGCAGGCAAGCCAAGGGGTGCGAGTGCGACGCAGCCATCCTGTTCATCCAGCCGAGGCAGGAAGACAAACACATGGCGACCGGAGCCCTCACCGAGGTTGGAAAGCTCACCGTGGGACTGAGCAGAGCGAAGATGGAACCCCACATCCTATTCGCAATTCCATGGGTTGGGGGCACTACAGAGTGGACCCGACTCTATGAAGGTATCCGGCCTCACATGGTGCCATGACTTCAAAAAGTATCTGCAACCAACGTTTCAGAACCCTTCTTCGATCCCACATGGGTTTCTAACCAAAGTAGTCATGATCATGGAGACTGACCAACAGCCATGATCACTCGAAGATGATTTTGTTTGGGAAAATTCCGTTCAAACCCCGATCGATGCCTTTGCCTCACATGACTTTCATTTCACTGCTTGGCTAGCCATGATTGACTCTCACTCACAGTGGATCATTGCCTTTCACTTACGTTGCCAAACCACATGGTATCTGAACTACTTTTCGCCACGCATTTCCAATATGTGTTCTTCACACCCTAGGTCTAGGTGTAGAAACTCTGAAGATTTGATGTTGCCATCATGCATTCTAAAACAGGTTGCTGCTACTTGCAGGCATGAATTCAATTGCTCTCTGCCAAGGAGGTGTGCCCGCCCCCGATGTTGGATCTCTTTGGTGCTGCGAAGGATTCTTACCATAAGATGCTGAAGGCTACTTGTTGGAACCTGGAAGCTGCTGCGCAGATTCGATGCATGGACTTCTTTGCGAACCCTAATGACTGGATAATCGCAATGCAGCCAGTGGACCAGCAGGATCAGAGACGCCGCTTGGCGCAAGCTGACATATCAGTAAGCGTTTCAATTGCGATCCTGACGTTGGAATGTTCCCAAAAAAAAGATCCATGTTTGGTAGACAATTCCAGCAGCAGTTGACCACCGCAGATTTTCAGTCTATTTCAAAGATCTCTCAAAAAATACAAAACCAAGCATGCCGTGCACGAGACACGTCAATGAATGACACAAGTAGCGTGTGATATTATCTGGGTTTCAATCATTTGCCAGCGTCCATCGCTGTCAATGCAGGGACATCTAAACAGAAGAAAACGACAGGGGTGACGAATGTGGACCAAGTTCATATCAGAAATCTCTTTCCATGTGTTTGGACTTGACCTCTTGAAACTCAGCTGGCCACCCGCATCTTGCTCCAACTAAGGGCAAGGGTATCCGCCACAGGAACCTCAAATGCCAGATGATCCAGCCAACTTGTGGAACAGATGGGCAGTCCACCTGCCGTGCATCACGATGCAATGTGGCATTCTGGCACTTCCGGTCCACACAAGCACACCAGGCTGGGAGCAACTGCCTGTGACCCTGGCGATGCTCACCAAGGGCGACCATCAGACAATCCGGCACCAGCTTCACAAAGCCGAGGAACACAGCATCGCCGGCTTCGAGCTCATTTCCCAGCAATGCCGAAGCTACAGATGGCCCGCTGAGATTCTTCCGGCCACAGATGAGCAGAGTATCCTTATACATGCCTACTGGGGAATGGGCCTCCATGCGCAGCACCCAGCGGTGTACGGATTATGCATTCGCTTCCACGATTCGTGCGCAGAATCCAAAGAACTGCCAGGGTGGCTTGTAAGGCAACATAATGAAGCCGGTGCCATGTATAAGGTCGGTGCCATATATGTTGCCGGTGCCATGTGGCCCTCCCACCCCCCTTCTGACACCAGCAACATAATGTTGCCGATGGTTGCCCTTGCCAGCAGTTGTTGCAAACAGCTAAGCTCCCATGCAGAAACAGAAGCTTAAATACCATGGCAACGCCATTGCAGCTTGCAGGGGTTGATGTACCCATGTAAAAAACATGTGCTGGCTCACACATCACTACATCTGCAGTTGTTGGTGAGGTGACCACTGCAACCACTACAAAAATGACAGCCACCTGTCAGTCCATCACTGGATTCGCTCTGCCATCCATGCATCACAACAACTCACTTCTCCTATAACCTCCTATCATATCCTATCTTTGAAACTTCCGCCACCGCCTTGCGCGGTACTATTGGTTTATTTGTATATCCTCATATGTTTGAATATATGTATATATATATATACACATATATATTTATATATGTATATACACTGTATGTATTTATGCTAGGCATGGGTTTGGTTGAAAATAGGGTACCAGCAGTAGTGTGACAAGATTTGACCACAACTATATTTATTGGAATCAACTGTATTTTTGGGAAAACCCATATACCAGGGTACCACATTTTCAAACACACCCATGTAAGGATGAAAATCTAGAAACCCAACCCAGGTCTGGAATTTTACCTTCCTTTGAAGGTTTGCTCGTTCTTTCCCTATTTTGGTGCAGCTGCACACTAGGGCCACAGAAAAATGGAACCATTTGGGGTCAAACCTTGTTGGGGGTGTTGAGGCTGAAATTTAAGAGCCACGTATTTCTTTTGGGCACCTTTGCCACATAATAAGCCACCAGTTTCTCCCACCGATTTTTCACTGGATCATGCCGCTCCACTTGAGAGTCGCTGCAACACAGTATCTGTACAAAACATGTTTGGAAACACATCTGGGGTTGGCAGCACATGCCATCCTCTTTATGCGACGAATCATGTCTTCGTCCAAGTAATTGCTCATGTATCTCAGATTCTTTCGATTGAAGTCATACACAGCGTGCTCTAGGTAGTGGCACTTTGGACGAATGTGCCATCTAGGCAAACAGCTCGAAATTGCTAAATTCGCCAACTTGTCGTAGGCCGCCCTGTAACACAGGTAGCCCTCTTCCAGTTGTTTCCACTCTTGTTCGCTGAAGCGCCGGCTTCCTTCCAAACAAACTGTTTCCATCTCAGCCAGGCCGCAGGCAACCCCTGCACGATACCTTAGCAAGCAGCCGCACTACCCTGGTAAAATTCCACCAAGTGGTTGGGAATATACCAAAAATGGGTTAAAACATAAATGGAAACCCGAAACACATGTTTCATGGAAGTCGCATGTCATCGTCCGCTCCGTGGACCAAAGCAAAAGATTTAGCCACATTGGCCAGCCAGAAAATCATGTAACGCGCTGCAGTAGCATTGAGTTTTTTCTGGGAAATTTCAACAAAGCCAGGGGCATCCGGAGTCAAGGTCTGGACAGAAAATAACTTTCTCTGGGCCCGGTCACCAATGCCATTTTCTTCACAGTAACTGCGGTAGTTCTCCCACAATTCAGTCAATCTTTCATTGCGAGTTGAACCAGCAACATATTTGTAAGAATCCGTCCAATCCAGTAGACAGCTTACGATGGAGTCCGGGGCGATGGTCAAATGCACAAGGTGCATTTGGTCGGGTAGTATTCCTGGATAGGGAATGTTGGCAAATCTATATCGAAAAAATAGACTGCGTTGTGCAGAATCAGCCCTTGGAAAACCTTGATGGGGTACAGTATGTATGTATGTATATATATATATACACATTTATTTATTTATATGTTTAAATATATATATATCCCTGAAAAGAAATCATTTGCATAACCAAATGGAATTTTAGGGAGTGGGCACCAACACGATTTGAAGTTGTTTTGACAAGTGTCGCCATGGTGACCATCCTGGTATGCTGCAAATGGGGGAGACAGTGCTGATGTCAAGCCATTCCTCCAAAGACACCAACCTCATGGGTGTGCTATAGCCAGGCTTTGGAAAAGAAGTCAAAAGTATGATTTTGTTTTCAAGTGGGAATTTCCCAAAAGAAAATTCGTCCAAACCAATGACATATTGTAAAACAAAAACACAAACGATATATACCTAGATAGAGATGCGCATATCATATTCCCAGTCAATTCTAAGATGTTTTCCCCACGTTTCTCTGTTTATGACGAAATATTGAAAATCCATGCCAGATTTTTTCCATAAACATAACATCCCAAGCAGCGTGTTTCTATGGGCTGCATGCTCCCCGAAGTTTGTGTAGAGGAGTTCAACATCTTGGGGATTGCTCGATGTGTACACCCAAGACAGGGCCCTGCAATAATAACAGCACATCTGCTTTGAGAAAAAACCTCGAGGCTTGGACAGGGCCACAAGAAAAAGAATTTGGACAGGGCCCCATTATGCCCCATTTGTTGACCTGAAAAAAACTAAAAAGTTATATGATATGCTACTATTGTTAGCCCAAAAACGTGCTGGAGTCATCATGGCCCTCACATAATCCTGATCACCTTGAATTCCTTCTAAACACCCTTTGAAAGGGCCGGCAATTTTCTGTCCACCCAGTTTCCAGCGATCCTTGTTGTAGTTCTTCGTGAACTCTTTGCCCCATGGGTCATGCGTAGGAAAGCGTCCATCACCTGAGCCAGTAACAGGGTAGGCTGTTGATGGGACAGGATTTTTTTGGGGCCTATTGGTTTTGGCAGGTTCCAAGTTGGTAACATGAGAAAAAATAAGAACAAGTAAGCAGAGGCACATAGGGCTTGGAAACTCCAGCAGATAGCTTCCAGAATTTTTTTCCGTGAGTCTTCATTGCAGTAGGTGGCGCTCATGCATGAGAGCCTTACTGGGATCTTTGGTAATCCAAAAAATAACGGTGCAATTTCTTTATGAACCACTCTATCCCCGTTGGCCAACACATCAGCATGCTGAAGGCTATGGAATGCCACGCAGCATTATCCTCGTGTCCATCGTCGCCGATGAGGTGGCCAGCGGCAAGACCAAACTGATTAGTTCGAACTTTTGCTTTCCTCAAGACCAGCATCATCGGAGAAAAACCAGGTCACCAAGAATAGACTTTCAAATTAGTTGCCGGGTCCAAAGATGGACTTCGAAAAATGAAGATGATCCAAACCATTTGGGCCTAATAGCCAACTTCAGTTGAGGGATCGGATGCAGGCTAAGTAGCTCTGACTTTCAGCACCATCGCCAAAGATCCGCAATGGAATTACATGGGACGGCTCTGTTTCCTCACCAGGTCACAGCCGGCTACTAACTTGTCAAAAAACAGGTGAATATGTTCCAAAGAATCCCACATGTATCCAGTCATAGCAGAAATGGGAAGCAGTAACAAGACCCCCCGGATGTGCCTTAAAGATAGGGTGCGCACGGTACCAGGCGGTCTCCTTCTCGTGCGACCAGAACTCTTCAAGTTCCTGAGCAACCGGCAGGACTCTGGACATCACTGAGTTGTGTGCTTGGGATTTTTCCCATAGGATAATCATCCTAAACAATGCATTTGAGGAATATGGAAATTTCCCGACGGAAAAGCAAACAAAATTACATATAATATATATAATATATATGAATATAACATGTATATATATAATATATATATTGTATTTATATAATGTATATATATATAATGTATATATATAATGTATATACATATAATGTGTATATATATATACATATTGTATATATATATATAATGTATATATATATATGTGTGTGTATGTGTTTGTATATGTCCACTGTATTCATACATATATATATATTCGTATATAAACATGTTGAACTCCTCATATATTTGTTTATACATGTATATGTGCACCTTTAGCTAAGGTTCTCCGGGGGCACCAGTCAATCGGCTCATCAAGTCAACAGGGCCAAAGCGGTAGAATGAACCAACTATTTCATGTGGGAGCAGCATGGAATGACTTCCCGTCCATTCCCTTTCTCCACAGGCATCCTCGTAGTAGACAGGGACAGGAAACCTTGGCCACCACGAATTTGATTGAATTAGGGGTCTATCAGAAAAACTGCGACAACATTTTGAAAAGGCATCTTGCAAGCTGTGCCATCGAGATTCTGAAAAGGCATTGGAAGGGCTTTTCCTTAGGTGGGCCAATAAATTGAAAAAACCAATTAGTGGGACATGTTCATCCAGATGATCATCACAAAGAAATCCTTTGTAAAAACAGGGCAACCATTTTTCTGGTAATACCATTGCATTGGTTTGATTGAAACCCGGTTCGACGATAACCCAATATTTGATTGAAACCCGGTTCGACGATAACCCAATATTTGATTGAAACCCGGTTCGACGATAACCCAATATAAGCAAAATTAAAAGGATGCCACCTAGTCACTCCAATGCTGGGCATGTGTCCACCGCTCTAGAATCTCCCCGTTTCCCCACGAGTTGGCCCTGCAGCGCAAGGACTCAATGAGCTGGAGCACTGGTTCCCTTGGCAAAAGCAGCGGGTCTGAGGAATGACCACGGAGATTTGATTTTTCTGGTTGGATCTTTAAAGCCATGTTGCGGCACCAGAACGTGCGGTAGGTTTTCCAAACGGCCTCAATCGACATGCTAAAATCATCAAAATTTAAAAGAAGGTCATGGCTGGGATTTTTTTTGAAACAGTGCAGGGAATCCATTTCGGTTGAACCCTGAGGGCAGCACACAAAAGGGATTGTATTCTTTGCATTTGAACCTGCAGATTCGGCTTAGCTCCAAATGGGGTATATTCAGGTTTATGTTGGGTGATCATACGACACTAAAAAGAAAAAACCTGCCTCACCACCACCAAGCATTTCGAAGAATTCTTGGACGAGCCCATGAACAGTTTCTTGCAAAACTTCGGGAGTAACGCCATTGTCCCCAAAATTGGAGGAAGTATGCATTTGAATTAAAATTCAGCTGGGAATGGCCGCGGTTGTTCCTGTGGTGTCTAAGCCATCAAATGAGCAATCTGTTTTGCACGATAGCCAGGTACCCAAAATGATTGGATTGCATGGTAGGTGCATTAAGTTGCATCACATTGAACTAGATCTGAATATATACAACAGGTATAAATATATATATATATATAAAAATACAAAGACAAATCCATCTCAATTTACCAGTTTGGTTCGATTCGTAATCTATACCCAGTCAGATCAACATATATCAGAAACATGTGTGTGTGTTGAAAAAACATTTTTACTTGTCAGTGGTGGAACCCCCTAATCACATGCATTCTGCAAATTATGGGCCTTTTTCGGGCTCATGTTCGCACGGGCCTTCGATCTTTCGCAGCTAACATGGTGGTAGTCTACATTTACACCCCTGTAGATCACCATGTCACAGAACCATAGGTAGGCTCCCCATGATTTACACACAGTAAAAAGCTAAAAGCTACATATCTTCATCCTCAGCGAGCTCCTGAGACTCTGCATCGGCATTGTCATTGTTAGCATCATCATATTCATCATCATCATCTTCAGGCCACTCTTCTGGCCAATCCTCCTGGTTCTCAGTAGGCTTAGGGGCAGCCTTCGGTTTGGCCTTTCCCTTCGCCTTCGCCTTGGGCTGTGAGGCTTTCTCCAGCTTGCGCTTCTCTGCAGCGACGCCTCAATGAAGGTGGCCCAGCTGGCTGAAATGGAGGGTTTGGAGGGTTCAACATGATGCCACCACATGTTGGTCAAAGAATGTGTATATGTATATGTAAATGTATAGGTATGTATATGTATATCCAATAATCTTAGTAGTGGACGTCGCTCATGGGACTCTTTGATGCCAACAGCTTCCTGCACTTGCTTCGCAGCTTCCTGCGGCGGTGTGGCTATGGGTCCCAAACATTGAACATTTTACTTTCAACTGCTCTATCTTCGGTAAACAAATAAATTAATACCGGCCATTTGTGCAACCCCATATGGTTGACATTGTTTGCACATGAGCCTCACCCACTTTAGAAAATACAGATTGATCAAATGGGCCTCCAAGTAGTCATCATGCTTGTCAAGTGAAGCTTCGAGCACATCGAACTGCACCATCCGGAAGACATCATCCGAAATCCTAGGACGGTTTGTTTGGATTCCAAAAACCATATGTCATCTCGAGGTATAAATGTATATTGAAGCATGCAAAGGGTGATCAACAATAAGTAGCCTGTTGGAAACTGTGATCCAGACTCTTTGGAGATCTTGTTGCACTGTGCGAAGATGCCACGCAGGTTCTGCACAGTCGCCTGCATAGCACATGACACTGGGGAACATTTGAGATGAGTTCTTTCAGTAAAACGATATTAAGATAAATTGCTGGCCTCTTGGTGTGCCATGCCAGTGGTTGTGATAGCTTCGGCAACCGTTCTGGCTTTGGACGCCAATTTCCCCACCCTTAGCGATACCAACTACAAGGGCGTTTGTTTTTCAACCCTTTAAAGTATGTACAGTGAATAGCTTTCAGATTCCAAACCAGCTTTTCTAGTGGGTCTCAAATACCTTACCATCGGGAAGTAAAATTCAAAGCCCGTGCTAATAATTGAGGGTTTGACTTCTCGAGCTTCTGGTCAAAGTTCTTTTTTCGGATCTCCTCCGGGCTCTTGACCTGCCAAGGATCGAGCGGTGAAGGTGAAGCGATCACCATGCAGTGGAACTCACAGGAGCGATTTGGGAAAACTTGTGCAGGAAGAATTGGGGCGGATAATCTTTTGACCTTTACAAGAGCATTTTTTACTTCTGGGATATCCGATAATTCCCCATGCATTTTGTTGGATGCAGTGGTGGACATTTACCAATTATAACTATTTTTAACCCCATTTAAACAATGATAACCATGGTCATCACTGTAAGTGTTGTCCAAAAAAAATCCCCGATACATTTTTGTTGGATTTACTGATAGTGCATGTATATGCACATATGTATAAAAATCACATATATATATGAATATAAATAAATATATATATGTGTATAAAGTGTACAAATACTATATATGTATAATCAATGTGTATATATATAGTGTGTATATACATATGATGTGCATATATATATGTGTGTATATAATGAATAAGTGTATTATATATATATATACGTGTGTGTGCTTGTATATGAGTATATATGACCTGCCTTGCGTTTCTTCTCTGGTGGCTCTCCAGTCTTTCCCTTTGCCTTGCCTCCCTTTCCCTTTCCCGAATGGGTCTGGTGAGCTTCGGCAGTTCCGCCCTTGCCCCCAAAGTCCGCACCACGCATTGCCAAACTGTCAGCGACAGCGGTCATTGCTGCTCTGTTTTGGGGAACATGTCCACTGGCCTTGACTGAGTGGCCGACTGCCTGCTTTCGTCGGGAAACATCCGTTGACTCACGGAACACCCAGTACATGCGCATGTCCTGGTTCTCCCCTGACGGATCCTGGGGGTGGGCCCGTCCTGGCTGCTTTGCAATCACTTGTTCTTCTAAGAATTTGATCTCGCTGGGAGTAGTGTATTGCTTGCGCAACGTCTCTAAGGGTAATTCGACCCAGCATGACGAGTCGTCGTGTTCTGCCATGTCAACGTACTGGGCCTCTATGGTGATTTCACTCAAGTTCTGAGGGTCAAGCATGAAAGCTCGTAAGAACTCGAACTTGGCCTGCTGGCTCGAAGCTGCTTGCCACTTTTGAATCAGACCTGGTCGGAGGCCTGCACCTGCCAACCTTCGCCTCAAAGCTTCTCGCTGTCTCTTCCGCTCGTCGGGTGGCATGTCCTCGAAGCAAGTCATGGCCTGTACGCGGCCACCCAACCCAAAAGAAAATGGGCGACACCCCTTCATTACCATAGATGTACAAATAAATAGATTTAAATAAATAAATAGATAAATAAACAACTATATATATATATGTATCTACCTGGATTGTAACTCCAAAAACTATAAAGGGTTTACGGTGGTTTTATGTATGATCCGTATTTACCAAATTTACCTTGTACGCCCGGTGTTTCCCTGAGGTTTTCCTATTTGCATATTGTTGCAATACCAGTCAATATGGTGTTCATTTGATTTCAAACTTTTGGATGACCTTTAATCAAACAGATCAAACGGATCAAACAGAAAAAGCAGTGTTGTTTTGATCAATATCGATTCGGCACCTTGATGCGCTGAGCATCCTCATCTGTCAAGTGCTTGACCTATATGGGCGGTTGCAAAACACATGCAGGGGTTTGATAAGACTTGATCACATGCAAAACTAAAGTAAAACAAGCACACACTGTGAACTGAGAATCCCAGCTCGTTTGGCCCTTCCAGGTCCCTCCCCGTCCCCCAGGCGATCCATGTCGACGTCACCAGTCCCATCAGATCTCACGCTGGTGCTCCGGCGGAAGATTCCTGGCCTCAAAGTCGAGAGACGGAGGGCATTTTAACAATTGTTTGTGCTACCGCTGCTATGACCGTTTAAAAAGAGAATGTCAACATATATTTATGAAATATATATGGGACCCCATGGGTG